TCACCTTGACACTGTTAAATGCAAAAGCTTATTTCTCCAATCAAAAGGACATAATTAAGTTATGAGAATCAGCACAGGGGCTGTGGATCCTCCAACTTTCACTGAGTTTCACAGCTAATCAGATAAGCTCTACAGACTGGAATTTCGTCTCTGCTGTCTCCCTTTGCATGGGTGCACCTCTAATCACAGAAAGCAGTTCTTGTCCCAGCCGCCCAGTATCCATCTCTTCTGATAACAGCCCCTGAGTTCCTCCCCCAGGCCACCAGCCCTCCTAGCCTCTGGCCGAATGTTGGGGAACACAGACTTCATCCACCCTCCAGACATCTGCACAGGCTACAGACCTACAGATGAGCAAGAGCAGGACACCTTCTGGACAAGCGCCCAGACAAGAGAACTGCAGAGGCTGTATTTTCCAAAGCCCCTGCGAGGCACTCCTGCCTGGTTCTCTGGCAGGACCTGGGAAACCAGCTGACCAACAGAAAAGGAAGCTGAGTGGCACATGGGAAGCTCTGGGTAGACCAAGCCAGACTTCAAGTTGGAGCTGCCCTGGTCTTGGGGTCACACAGACTGACAAATTGTCTTCACCACAACTTCCCTGACGTATGAAAACACAGACCACAGATGGGGAGATGAGTTTTAAGCACTACAGGACAGTGATACAGCCCTGGCTTCCTCACAAGAGGCACACAGGCATGCGAGCATGAGTTCTCAGAGCCACAGTTGATTTCCAGCTCAGAGCCCTCCCTGGATGAGAACCCAACTTCCCAGAGTTGTCCCAACACACCTGGAAATAGGCCCCTCCAAACACAGACTGGAAACTCGTGGGCCTCCTCTTCTGACCAGCACACTAGGGGCTCTCCTAGTGAACACGGCCACCTCCAGGCCTCAGTAGAACAGTGGATGGTGGGAGAAAATACTGGGTCCATCCCCCTCTTATGAAGATATATATCAAAGTCCAAATACCTTTGAAATGTTCCTGAGGTACTTTCAAATGTATTGGAGCTGCTATAAACAAAGTCTGTGGCTTCCTCCTAACAGTGAATACAAAAAGGAAGTAAAAATTTGTTTTATGCAAGACAAAGACTCAAACTGAAGACGGCTATTCTGGCCATAAGGGAAGAGGCCACCCATTGACCACCCTAAGGAGGACAGCAGCCATTCCCAGGAGCCAGGCCTCCAGAAGACATGGTCAGGAAGGACACCTCCTGTGAGAGAACACACACAGGAGGGACCAGGAGAGGAGAGCATGGCAGAGTGTTCGCAGGCAGGCCCCAACCTCCAGCCCAAACCCACTCTCCCCAGTTCACGGGAAGGACAAGTCTGTCCTATGTGATGATGGGATGGGAAGCTAGTGTCTTCCCCACTGGCAGTGGCGGATGCCAAGTCGCAGGCAGCTGTGATTCTGGCAGGGGACATGTTGCCACAGGAGAACGGAAGATGGTCAACAGACCCAAAGACCCATTTCTCCACCTGTGGGTCATGGTCCTTGCAGAGGCCCCACAGGCTGGTGGGACCCACAAGACAGCAGCATTGGGGTATTTCACACCAGTGAAGGTGGGTGTCCAGAGCTCACACCCAGGTGGCTACCTGTCCTACACAACCTTGCGCACACCTGGGAAGCCCTCCTCACTCTCCAGGACTCGGTACCCCTTGAGCACTGGAATCAGTCCTTTTTGACTGGTTGATCTAGAGCACAGGCCCAGCACACAGGGGATCATAAAACTAAAGAATAAGGAACAGCTGTCTGGCAGACTGACAGTGGCCAGGAGGGCTGGCTCTGCCTGTTCTGGGGCTGGTGCAAGGTCCCTGAGCCATTCCTCACCCCCTGTCCTCCTCAGACCCCTCCAGCACCAGGGTCCCAGAGGCACTGACTCAGTGTATGGTAACCCCATGGCTCTGCAGTGACCTGGAACGCAGGTGAATGTCCATGGAGGGAAGAGAGAAGGATGGGGAAGGAGCAGGGCAAGGACAGGGGCCCACTGCCAATAGGACCCTCACTGCTGGTTTAAATGTTGCTTTCTTTGAGAGACCAGGGTTGAGTGGAGCATTTCTGCCAGCCCTCTGGGCTGCACTGATATACTGCAAAGAGGAGAGTCTGCAGAGCCCCAAGAAGGGTAATAGTGCAGGGCACTTATTCTTCACACTTTCTGCTGGATGGAGTTCAAGGCCAGTCCAAACTGAATCATGGTGGTCTTAGACCATTATTTTTTGAACCCCCAAACTGCAAATCAAAATCTGATTTTGTGGTTCATGCCTATAATCGTAGCTACTCAGAAGGCAAAGATGAGGAGGTCCTGGTTTGAAACCAGCCAAGGCAAAAAGTTCGAAAGACCCTATCTCAAAAAAAACCTTCACATAAAAGGGCTGGTGGAGTGGCTCAAGGTGTAGGCCCTGAGTTCAAGCCCCAGTATGGCAAAACATAGCAGGTGTGGGATTGTGGGGGGGGGGGGTTCTCATATTTTCCAGTTGTTCTCTTTCAATCTTGAAGACAGGTGCAGGTGTGGTCTTGAAAGTAAGGGGAGGGAAGATATAAGGAAAGGATGCAGAACAGTAAATATGATGGAAATATTATATATTCATATATGAATACGGAAAATGAGGCTTATTGAAACTATTCTAAGAGCTGTGGGTAGAAAAAATTCTTAAATAAAATAAAATTTTAAAATTGGGGTGGAGGAACTTAACCAAGATATATTGTAAGCACTTTTGCAAATGTCACAATGTATCTCCAGTACAATAATATGATAATAATAATAAGAGTAATAATAATAAAGAAAGTAAGGGGACAATGTGACAATGGACTAGCCCCACTGACTTTAGGGCCTGTTCCCATTTCTACCAAATAGGCTTTATTATTTATTATTATTATTATTATTATTATTATTATTATTGTTATTACAGAGCTAGGAAGTTGAACTCTGGCCCTCACTCATGCTAGGCAAGTAGCCTACCAGTGAGTTATATCCCCAGCCTCTCAAATAGTTTCTTACAAATCAAAAATAACAGCATATGCATGAGAACAGAGAGATGACACAGAGGGTGACAAACAGCAGAGTGTTTCTACAGGGGACTGTCCCAGCAAGCAGCCTCACTCAAACCAGCCTGGGCCCCAGATACAGAATGGGGCTCCTCTTCCCTCATCCCTTACTTCCCCCAACAAACTGTCTCCTCCTTCTTTCACAAGACCTAGCACCCCATCACTACCACCTGTGCCCTGTGTCCACACAGCTACACACACCTGTTCATCCAAGGAAAGGCACATGCTGACCTGGTCAGCTGCTAGCGCTCAGGGCCCACACTGGATCCTGTGCTCTACCCACAGCTCCACAGTTGGGCTGGGAGAGGCTCAGTCCCCTGCCTAGGCTCGCTGGCCACTGCTCCTTCACTTCACCCCAGGATCTACAGGATCTGACCAACTTTGCATCTTCTCTGCTTGCCTCACAGATTCATGGCCCCCAAGTGTTGTCAATTCAAAGCATTTCTTAAATTTCCAAACTTCCAGGTAAATTTCGGCAGATGCCCTTTCAGGAAGTCTTCCAAGTGTGGAGTATGATGTCACTCTTGGCTCTGTTAGACAACCCCACCATGAAAAACAAGAGGGAGGACCCCACTTCTGTGCTACAACATTCATTTTAAAAATACTGATCTTTTCAAAGAGCAATTCAGAATTGGGAGTAAAACACAGTGCAAGCACTAGGGTTGGTCCAGATGTGAAAAATGGCTTCAGGGTCCAAGTTTTTCCCACTGACTCACTAAAGAATTAAACTATCTGTATTTGGAGAAACCTCACCCTGCACTGTTGCTTTACAGGACCTAGATACCTGGCCCGGGCTGCACATCTCCCACCCGCCATGTCCACAAAGCCGCCTGTACTGTCCATTAGGAGAGGTGGGCCATGTGTGTACTTTGTTTTAGAGGTAAGAAGGCTGACCGCCCACTTCCTAAATAGTTCACTCAAATTTCTACAACTTTTGCAGGCTCTTCGAGGTGCCAAACATCCTCCAGCCCGGCCAAGAAAAGTGAAAACTATTTTTGGCATGCAGAAGGGCAGCTGAAGGACGATGAGATGAATTAGAGTTGGCGACTAAAACATATGCCTGCCCTCACAGGCTTCCAGCTTTTCCGATCCATGCCATGCCTCATCAGAGCACACCGAGCCCTGCAGCGAACTCTGGCGGCACAGGATCCCTGGGACTGCGGCGCGCAGGTCCTGCTTGGGTTTCAGGGGCCTGCGGAGGGGCGGGTGGAATGCGCGATACATTGTATCAACTCCTCCACGAAGTATCCGGGAAGTTTGGCACATCTGCGAACTCAGCCAGCCGGGACTGGCGACGAAGGAGGGACGCCAGCCGGCTCTGAGATCTCGGCCGTGGGGCTCGCTCCCGTTGCAGGAAAAGCCCCAAACAAGAGCTGCGCCCCGCGGAGTCACCCCGACCCTCCACGCACAGAAGGCTCTCCGCCCCGAGCGATGCGGGGACTTTTGGGGCTGGTGGTGCGGCCGCAGCGGAAACTGAGGCTCGGCGTTCCCTGCGCAGGGGTGGGGGTGAGCCGCGCGCTTTGGGAGCCGGGAACCGGGAGAGGGCGAGGCGGAGACGGGAGGAGGAGGAGGAAGGGGGCGGAGGAGGGGCAGCGGGGCCGACGGCCCGCGCTTGCGGAGGAGAGGCGCCGGATGGGGGACTGGGCTAGGGAGAAAGGGGAGCAAACTCGAAACAGAAGGAGACCGGGCTGGGAGAGAAGCGGGGCTGTCCCTGGCAGCTCCCAACTATTTCCCAGGCGGGCGGGGGATCCCGATTCCGAACAAAGGCGGCTCCCGAGGCCGCGCGCTCCGCGCTCGGGTCCGCCCCTGGCGACAAAGGCCCGGCGCGCCCCGCATCCACCTCCCGATCTCCCACTTGTGCGGACCTACGATCTGCCTGCACCCCGTCCCCAGGCTCCCCGCGCCCCTTGATCCCCACGAAGCCCACGGTCCCCGGACCCCAGCGTCCCCGGGCCGCACTCACAGGATGGAGGTCTGCGGCGCCACGGCGGGCACGGCCTCGAGCAGCAGATGCATGCAGCGCACGGTGGTGCGGAAGCACAGACAGCGACTCGGACAGCCGGCGCCCGACTTGGTGGCGACCACCGCCTGTGCCCCCCAGGCGCAGCACAGCACCAGAGCCAACAGGCAGCGGCGCGTGGGGTCCGCGGAGCGCGCGGCCATGACCGACGGCGCGGACGGGCGTAGCACGCTCTGAGCGACCGCGGAGGCCCCGGCGCGTCCACCGCCGGCTCCCGACTGAGCCCGCCCGGCCGCGGCCCACGTCCCAGCTGTGCGCGGGGGGCGGGGGGCGCCAGCTGTGCACATGCGCACGGCTCCTCCCAGCGCCCTCTGCCTGGCGGAGGGCGGGGACCCGGGGCCATGGCGTTGGGCAGCTGCGTCCCCTCCCCGCAGAGGCCAGCACCGTACGGGCTGTGCTCTGGATGCAGATGCCACAGTAGGGGCGCCCGCGGTGCAAAGGAGAGATTTGGGATCAGGCTTGAATCCCAGATTCTGCTTTCAGGACCTGGGGTAGCCTCAGCTAAGGTAGTCCACCTCTCTCAGCTGGGGTCCTTGCGAACAATGAGGGCTTTGTTGTTGGCGACAGTACTGTTTTACACTTTTAGTGTCTAGTGTGTTCTGGGAACTGTTTCAAGTGCGTTTTCCCGCTCTTTCTGCCTGCCACTTCCACTCCCACGTACGATCGCTTACTTTTTATTTCCTCTTTCCTACTGGAGAAACTGAGGCCGGGCCCCTTGGCGCACTTTTATGCCACAGAATTAGAAGTCTGGATGGTGCGCTCCCTGGGGCTCCCACCACCTGCCGTCTCACTGTTAGGCAAATAGATATTTGTACGAAGCATTTGGAGAACCGCGACACCAGATGGGAGTTCCATGGTCCTTGGCGTCCTCCTTGTGGAACTAACAGAATGAAATCCTGGGCTCGCCACAGGTCCATTTGCATAGAGACTGCAGAAGACCTGGGAAGGAGGGAAACACGAGTTTAAATTAAAATGCTTGTAAGCTGAACGATGGCATATTCTCTACAGCCTCACAAGGGTCCACTCTCTCCATCATACAGATAAGGAAGTCGAGGCCAGGAACTGTCAGAATCAGAAGTGAAATTCAGGTGTGGTAGTTGCCTCAATTGGGAGACTGGTAAAGCACACTCAATATGTGTTTAAGGAGTTCCTGAGATGATTAACTATGGGGGAAAGGCCCAGTCTGAATGTGGGTGTCACCACCCCAAGGCCAGGATCCAGACGGGAACAAAGGGAGAGCACAAAGACTTCCACCAGCCTGTTTTCTGGCCGCCATGATGAGAGTTGCTCTGCACTCAAGCCCTCCCCTCCATAATGGACTTAAACTGTGAGGCAAAATAAACCTTTCCTTCCCCACGTTTTGTGCTCAGGCACTTTGTCACAGCAATGAAAACTAACATGCCAGGTGTACTCTGACCTGCAGCCCCCTGTGCTCCTATTGTTACCAGGCTGGGGCTCTAACAGATGTATTTGGAAGGTCCACCATCTGGGAAGCCAGTCTCCGCATTGCGTACTCCTGGGCTCCATGTACCTTCTAGACCTCTCCTCTGTGTTCCATGAGAATTTCAGGGTTCTCATGTCAGAAACCCCAAACATCCTGTTCCGCAAAACAGCTACTGTTCCCCCAAACCACTCTCTCATAATCACCACCTAGAATCTATGCTCACCGCGGGGGGGCGCCCACCCTACATTTAAGTGCTTACCAAGTCCTGTTGACTCCATTCACACCACTCTGTGTGCCTCTGGCTCTTCCCTCTCCTTCTTCTCCTGTGGCCCTGCCATTTATCTGTGCAGGCACCTCCGGTCCCTCCAGTTCAGTCCTGTTAGAGGTCCTCTGGCCCTGCTCTGTTCCCCATCCACCAGACACCAAGTGATTTTGACTTTTTGTCTGGCAAAATCCTACTGAACTTTTAAGCCCCAGCTCAGTTCAACATTCCCGCCCCCCCCCCCCACATCTCCATAAATCACTCCAGGAGTTTGTTCCTACTCCCTTTCCAGCATTACTTCCTGTCTATTGTCACATCTGACTTGCTCCAAACGCCAGGGCTGATGTCTGTATGCCCACCCCCCTACTACGGCCAGGGTAGGAGCTAAAAACATTCACTGTGGAGTGAACATGGCCAGGCTGCACTGTGCATACTGTCATCACTAGATGACCAGAAGGGCCATGGGGAGCATGTGGTTTTCATATGCCCTGGCAGAGGCCAGGGGTGGGGAAGACGTTGGAAACAGCAGAGAAGACTTCAGTTGTCTTGTTTCTTGCTTGTTAGGTTTGGGAGTCATCAGAAAAATCCTAATGATGACTACAAGGCTTTCAATGTTTTCTCCTTCACCAGACTCAAAGGGAGGGAAGTACTGGGTGCTGAATCTCACTTGAGAAGAGGGAACCTGAGGCTCAGGGAGTCACCAAGCAGGAAGGTCCCCATGCCACCTTGGAGGGCACTGCTGCAAGGGTCACTGAGGTCTCCCCACTCCCCAGTCAACTGGTGTCTAGTCCAACCTAGTTGGTCAGAGTCCAACACTCCCACCCTAGGGCACTCGCAGGAAGCAGCAGCATTTCAGGGTGTGACAGACTGTTGTGTGTAGTTTTTCTTGTTAGTTCAATAGCCATCTCCCAAGTCAGCCATGATGGCTGATTTTATATGTTCACCTGGCTTGGCTATAACACCTAGTGACTTGATCAAATGTTAATCTAGGTACTCCTCTGTTGTGGTTAACATCTAAAATCAGCGGATTTTAAGTAAGGGAGATGACCCTCAGTAGTGTGGTGGGCCTCACCCTATCAGTTGAGGCCTTAGGAATAAAAACTGAGCTTTCCCAGAGAAGAAGAAATTCTGCTTCAAGACTGACAAGCATCTCCTGCCTGAGTTTTCAGTCTGCCGGCCATCCCTGGAGGCCAGACTTGCCTTTACCATAATAACATTTGCCAATTCCTTGAAGCAGATCCATCCATTCACCCACCCTTCCTTCCATCTGTTCATCTATCCACCCATCCATAACCCTTCCTTCCTCCCTTCTTTCTTTTCTTCTTTCCTCCCCTCCCTTCTTTCCATCTACCTGTCCATCCACCCCATGCACTCACCATCCATCCAGTCACTCACCCATCTACCCACCCATCCTTCCTTCCATCAACCCATCCACCAATTCACCCATCCAGCCATCCATCTAGCCAATCCCCTTCCTTTCATCCGTCCAACCACTCACCCGTCCTTCCATCTACCCATTCATCCATCCATCCATCTCCCTTCCTTCCTTTCATCCATTCATCCATCCACTCATTTATCCATCCATTCATCCATCTATCCACCCTTCCTTCCTTTCATCACCTTTCCATCCATCCATCCTGTTGGTTCTATTTCTCAGAAGACCCCTGATGGCCATAGTGGTCATCTGCCCAGCAGTAGACGAGGTGTGGTAGAGAATGGGGGCCCAAACCATGATTTGGGTCTAAAAGAACTTGTGTTTTGGCAAATGAAGCTCTTACACTGAGCCAAATGGACTTCCCATAGCTTTATCATCATCCCCTGCATCTGCCCCCTTTAGAAGCTCACAGAACATGCCCACTCCAGCTGATCTCTGTGGGTGAATTATTTGAGGGTGGATCCAGGTAAATATTTCCATTTTGCTCTGATGACCACTGTCCAAACCCTTTCTTCCATCCTGCATCCTGTTACCTGTTGCACGGCAAACATTTCTTTGCAGTGCTCACCATATTGACTGTCCAGTTGTTTATGTATTCATACCAAGAGGCAGAGGCACACATGAAGAGGCGCTGTCTTCTCATACCTCCACTCAGAACTACTAGTTGTGCCAGGATCTCTGCAAGGCCCTGGAGACCATGAAAATGTCCGCTGCTGTCTCGCTATCTGCCCCCTGCCAGAGCTGGGCATCACTACAGCCGCTGTGTACACATTGTATTTTCCGATCCTGTGAGGCAGACTTCACTGCCCCTTTTGCAGATAAGATAGCTTAGAGAAGTTAATGAAGGGAGGAAAGGAGGAAGGAAAGGAGAGAAAGGGAAAGGACAGGAGAAAATAATATTGCTCCAGCATTCACAACGTGCTAGGCACACCCCAAGCACTGCATGTTGCAGTGACCAGTGACCGCCCAGGTCTTTTCTGGACTGCTGTTCTCCAGCCCCAGTAGCTACTAGTGTGGGCTGCAAACATTCTCCAAAGATTCTCAAAGACCCTAGTTCTAGGTAATGGAACCTGGGTTATGGAACAGGGAGGCAGCCTCATTGCTGCTGCTGCTTCCAATCCTGTGACCCCATAACCTTTTCCTTTCTCTGGGCCTCAGCTTCCTCATCTATAAAACAAGAGCAGTGGTTGTGAGAGTCAAATGGGAAAGTATGAGGTGCCTGTGTATTCATCCTTGGCCAGTATGGGCCTGCAGTGTGACCAAGGCAGTGAGATGTGATCAAATTCTTGCCAAGAGATTTCTGGGGTCCGCTGGATTCTGGCATGGGGAAGACCAAGGAGCCATTCCCAGACGGTGAATCAGCTCCCACGGGACCTGCTCATTGACTCCTTCCTGTGGCCTTGCACAGCTCAGCAGGAGGAGCAGGGCACACCGCACACACCTCCTTGCACATCCCCTGAAGCCCACAGAGAGAGCAAGGGGTCACCTACAGGGTCCACGCTGGAGACGTGGAACCAGTAGCCAGACTACTCAAGTACCAAGGACCAAGTTCTGCGCAGGGCTATTTTTCTTTAAAGGCTCCAGTAAGAGTCTGCTCAGGCCTTTCCAGCCTCTGTGACACCGACCCTGGGCCTGTCTTATAGAAACCTCTCCACTCCCCGCCGCTTCCTCATGGAGCACTCTCTGGGGCTGTCTTCTCGTGTGGACACAGGCCATGCTGGATTGGGACTCTTCCAAATGACCTCATCCTAACAACGAATTACATCTGCCCAGCCCTGTTTCCAAGCGAGGCCCTATTGGAGCTACAGGAAGCGCTTTAATTTCAGGGGTCACATATCCCTGCTCACTGGAGCATGAAGGGAACAAAGTAGAGACGAAGCAATGATACGGAAGGATCAAGCCCTGAGCTGGACTCCAACTTCACAAACAAGAGCAGGGTGTTAGAGCAGAAGATGGAAGTTTTATTCATTTGCCAGAGAAATGAGTGCAGCAAGCTCACGTCCCAAAACCTGGAGCCCCAGTCCCAAGGGGAAGGACAGGTTTTTAAGGGATAGCCCAGGAG